CGCCCACGCCTGCCCACTTCCCACTTCCCACGTTCTTCTTGGGCCTTTGCAGCGCGATTTAGCCAGGGTGCGTGCCCCAAAGCTCCTTCCTGGGACACGGCTGCTCGTGGGGTTGGCTCACCGGTGGCCACCTCGCGGGTCATGGCGGAGGTGAGCCGCAGCACGGGCCGCAGCATGGTCTTGCCATCGGGCGTGGGCGTCAGCGTGCGGCTGTGCGACTTGAGCATTAGCCGCTCGTCCTGGCGCTGAAGCAGCAGCAGCAGGTCGTCCAGCAGAAGCACGTGGACCTCTGTGAGTGGGACGCAGGTCCTCAGCCCTTGCCCGAGGCCCTGTCCACCAGCCTGCGGCCCCGAACCTCCTCCTGCCCCCTCTCCCGCACCCCAACGCTCACCCACAGCCTTGTCTTTGGTCACCCGCCACGTCAGCGGGCCCTCGTGGACCAGCTTTTTCTTGGTGATGTCCAGGTTCTGTGGACCGGAAGGGGCAATGGTGGGCCCTTGCCAGGCAAGGCAGGGAGGAGAGTAGGGGGTGGAGCCAGGATTGTGGTCAGAGGTTGTAGTCAGGAATGGGTACCTCGCAGGGGTGAGGGTTCATTCTGGCAGCCTGATACATTACATTACATTCTGGCAGCCTGATACATTATCAGACTGGCTGACAGCCCCCGGCCTGAATCGGAGAACTCCTAGAGAAGCAAGGAGGGCCAAGGGCAGGACAGGTGATCTGGGCCTACCTTGAACTCGCTCAGCATGGGGTCACTGCTCTGCCGAAGATGGGACAAGTCCAGACGCCGCTGATAATCCTTGAGCCTCTAGGGCAGGTACAGGAGTGTTAGGGGGCCAAGCTGATCCCAGTGAGCCTGAGAGGGAGCTCTCAAGCCCAACCCCTGGACTCAGTGCCCGAGTTAACAAGCTGAGTGTGAAGCCCACATTCCAGACACTCAGTGACCAGATGAGGACAAGCCAAGGCTGGGCTCAACATCTGCCCATGTGGTGACCCTAAGTTTCGGTGTGGGACCCGGGGCCAGGGCCAGGCCCAGCCTCACCAGCAGGTCCTCCATGTCACGCACGGCCTGGTTGACGTGGTGCAGAATTTCCCGGCAGCACTCGGCCGCCCGCTCCACTTTCATCCGTTCTGCAGGCTCTTCTGTGGGCAAGGGAGAGAGCAGCCCAGTGAGTCCCAGCCCCAGAGGCTCCTGGGTATCCAGACAGGTTAAAGGGAGTGGAGCCGAGGCCCAGCAGGGCCAGGCAGGACCCACCCACCCCCTTGCTGGGGCTGCTGGCACCTGAATTCTGTCCGATGCTCTGGAGGAGCAGAGGGTACTTGGTCAGGCGCTGCATCTCTGTGGGGATCATGTCTTTCAGCTGCAAGCGGCGGCACCGTGGGTGGCTCTCAGCCTCCTGAGGGGACAGCAGCAGTGGGGTGGCCAATGCTTTAGGGGAACCTAGACACCAGTCCTCTCCCAAGAGTCTGGGTCCCCAACCGCCTCCTCCCTCGAACCCAGGAGTCTGGCCCCCAACTTCCCTTCCCAGGAATCCAGGTCCCCAGTCTCCTCCCACCTTAGACCCAAGCCCGCAGTGCCACCCCACCACCCTCACCTGCACAAAGGCGCAGAATCGGGGCTCCTTGCGCTGTTTGTTTTTGAGCTGCTCTAAAGCAAAAGACTGGCGGCTGCAGAAGCGGGAGGAGATTTTCTGGAACCAGGAGCCCTCAGCGCCATCAAACTACAGTGAGATTCAGGCCAGGGAGGGTGTCTCAGGTGAGACTGGGACAGAAGCCTTAAGTAGGACAGGGCTGGAGCCCAGATCCCTGGGCCTTGAGATGGGAGGGGTCAGAGACTTGCCTGCTGTGTCCTGAGGGAGGAGGAGCTGGGGCGGAACTGAGGGGGCTGAGGGGGGGACCCTTACCCGGGCCAGCAGCACGTCTCCAACCTCCTCAATGAGGTAGCCGCTGTCCTGTCTCCGCTTCATCAGGCTGTCGAGGAATAGGGCTGTGGGGAACGGGGAGGGCAGGGGTTCCGCCTCAGGACTCAGGACTCGGATGTTGGCAGAACCCAGTCAGGAGCTAGAGGGGGTTGGGCTGCAGGTGTGCCTGTCCCCCTGCCCATCTGCCTGCTGCCCCTGGAATGTGAGCTCTGGGGGCCCGTGGCAGGGTTGTTCGCTGCAGCGCCCCCAGGTTGCCAGAGGATGCCAAGACGGGGGGGGGGGGGGGGCGGGGGCGGTGCACTCACAGTGCACCTCGATGAGCTCGTCCAGGCTGGGGAAGATGTTCTGCAGCTCCTCGATGGAGAAGAAGAAGCCATCTGCTATGGGCTGGTAGAAGAGGTCGTGCAGCACCCGGAGCATACGCACGTGCGCGGCCTCCGTCACCAGCAGCTCTGCGGGCCACCAGGCAGGGAGCACCATTGGGGGGCGCAAATTATGGGGGCAGTCTCACAAGCGGGCTGGGGGAACGAGGAGGGGAGGGAGCCAGAGCTGGTGGTGAACTCTTCCTCAAAGCTGGTAGGATAAAACCTCTCTGGGCAGTCATTTGTCTCCTACGTAACCCATTACTGCCAAGTCGATTCCGACTCGTAGCTACCTCATAGGGAGAATAGAACTAACTGCCCCATAGGGTTTCCAAGGCTGTAGTCTTTATGAAAGCAGACTGCTACATCTTTCTACCAAGGAGTAGCTGGTGGGTTCGAACTGCCAACCTTTTGGGTAGCAGATGAGTGCTCAACCACTGCACCACAAAGACTCCCTGTCCCTCACACACCAAAACCCAGACTCACTGCCAATGAGTCAGATTCCGACTCGTAGCAACCCCCACTGGGTTCCTGAGACTGTACAATCTTTATGGAAGTATATTGCCCCATCTTCCTTCCGCGGAGTGGCTGGTGGGTTTGAACTGAATACCTTATCTACTATGCCACCAGGGCTCCTTTGTCCCCCACATAGTCGGTCAGAATCTCTTGACCATAGTCTCTCCCTTTGTCATGACAGCCAATAAGGTGACTCACAGCTCTAGTTTGCCCAGCACTTAGGACACAGGACTCCCAGTGCTGTAACTGGGAGTGTCCCGGGCCAACCAGGGCTAGTGGGCATCCTACTGCCTGGAACCCTGCAGCTGGACTTGGCATCTAACCCTATAGGGATTTTCTGAGCTTTGGCTTCGGGTACAAAGGTTTTTTCTATCCATGGGTTGATAACCTCAGGCCCAGGGACCAGCCCTCAGAGGGTGGATGTGTGAGTTCAAAGGTCCCGAGAAGGCCCCCGAGACAAAATACAGCATTTTGTGTCTTGCATGTTTCCCAGGAGAGAAACCGTGACGCTGTCCGGTGTGGAAGCCACTAGCCACGTGGGGCTCTTTAGATTTAATTAAAATGGCATGAGATGAAAAATGCAGCTCTCCACTGAACCCCACTGTTTCAAGTGCTCAACACAATATGTGGCCAATGGCTACTGCGTTGGGTAGCACAGGCTGCACATTTCCATCACTGTAGCAAGTTCTTACAAGAGCTCTGGTGGCGTAGCAGGTTAAGACATTCATCTGCTAACCAGAAGGCTGGAGGTTCAAACCCACCGGCTGCTCCTGGGGAAGAAGATGAGCCAATCTACTTCTGTAAAGATTTACAGCCTTGAAAATCCAACTGGGGTCACCATGAGTCGGAATCAACTTGATGGCAGTAGGTTCAGTTTGGTTTGGGTAGCAAGGTCTGTTGGACAGTACTGTTCATGTTCTTATCACATCCTCACAAGTACTCACCTCCTGCCCTAAAGACTGAAAAAAGGACCCTTCTATGAATTCATCTGTAAAGAAGCTTCCGAGAACATTCTTGATGTTTGCCACTGTTCCCCCAACAATGACGAATCACGGAAAACAGTCAAGATGAAAATGACACCCCTGCTGTACACAGAAGCGTGCACAGCCCGTGTTTCCACATGCTTCCTAAAACTTTTTCCTGTGGGAATCTTTTTTTCCCCTAAATGAGTAAGATCCCATTAATAACCAAGTTGGTTCTGACTCATCACAACCCCACTGCTCCCATTAAAATGCTTCTGCTCTGTGCCTGGCCCTTCATGCTCTTTTATCTTCAGGACAACCTTTGGAGGTAACAACTACTATCGCCCACGCTTTACAAGTAAGGAAACAAAGGTTCCCACCACAAATACAATTTTAAATACGATTTTTGGCTCGTAACACTCAGCACTGTCCCACACTACTAAAAACTCTTTGGAAAGGTGACTTCAATGGCCACGTAACGCTTGGGTTACAATCAAGGGTCTGTAACAAACCACCCCGGTTGGAGACAAGCTGTCTGCCAGTTTCCCCTGAGCTAATCAGCACAGAGACGAGATCTGTCCATGCTCTTCCTCGACCAGAGCCAGACGGGGTCCTGGGCCACAGGGGACGGCGGGGTCGGTGAGGGTGGGGTGCACTCACCACTGATGACCTCCTGTCGCTTCACCTGGCTCTTGGGCAGGCTGTGCAGGGTGTCTGGGGGGACTAGCTCCCGCCAGCCGGGGGGCTCCTCTGGTTCCAGCTCTAGACCTGACCGCCCTGGCTCCCCCTCATCTCCGGGCTCGGGGCTGTGGGACAGGGACCTTATTAGGACCCCAGTTTGGGGTATCCCAAAGTGCACCACTCCTTGGTGTCCAAGCCCTCTCTGTGGTCTCAGCATTTGCTGTCCCAGATCTGGTGGCCCACCCAGCAGACCAGTCCCAAATCTCCAAGACAGAAGCATCCCACCCTCTCCTTTCTTCTTCCGAGCTCCATGACGACGGTTGGCCCTCAGCAACCTTAGCATCCAATGCCCAGCTCTCTCTGACTCTGGCTCCAGCCACCCCACCCCCCACCCCCGTCCTCCCTGACTCCCTAGGCTGCAGCGATGGGTGGGGGAGGGAATGACGTACGTGGCTCGTCGGGCAGGGCCAAGCACAGCTGTGGCAGAGCCGGGGTCCATGTCCACGTCGCTCCGGGAGCGGCCCCCACCCCGGCCCTTAGCCCCGAGGCTGCCCCGGGAAGGCCGGCGGCGGTCACTCACCCGCAGGCTCTCTGAGCGCCCCAGACGCCCCGATAGCCTGGACCCCAAGGCCAAGGACAGAATCAGGCAGAGGCCAGGACAGAGACAAGGAGAGACCAAGACAGGGACAGAGACAGGGGAGAGACCAGGACAGGGACAGAGTCGGGAGGGACAGGGACAGAGTCAGGGGAGACCAGGACAAGGACAGGCAAAGTCCAGGACAGAGATCAAACATGCAACAGAAAAGAGAAGAGAGAATCAGAGTGGTGGGAGGATTTGGGGGTGCTGGGGGGTCAGGAGGTATACTGAAATTTGGCAGGGAGAGGGGAGGAGAATCCTGCACGGGCACTGACCCCCTCCCTTCCCTGAGGCAGGAGTAAGAGGGAGAGTGGGGAGTGGAGGGGAAGGAGGCATTCAATACTTAGCTCTTCCACTGAGAGGTGATGTCCACACCCACCTCACAGGGGAGGGAGGGGAGGGGTGGCCCATGGGGGAGGGGAGGGGCTGGGGGAAATGGGGGAGGGGCTAGCCCTCCCCCTGCCCAGGGCCCAGGCACCCACCTCTTCCACCTTCTGGGGAGAGAGGGGCACAGGGTCAGAGGTAGACCCAGATGGAACCCAGCCCACCTCCCCACACTCCCAAGGGTCCCCAAAGCGGCGGCACAAGGACAGGCAGGGGGCAGAACCTGCCCCTCAACTGTGAGGGGGACAGGGCCCCCAGGGCATGGAGCACAAAGAGGGAGGGGGTCAAAGGAAGGGGAGAGGGTGGGGGGCAGGGGCAAGGTGGGGAGAAGGAGAAGGAAGAAGGGCTGAAGAAGAGGAGGAGGAGGGAGGCGGGGAGGGGAGTGGCCAAGCGGAAGGAAGAGGGGACCCAGAGGGCCTGAAGGAGGAAGAAAAGGGGAAGCGAATGAGAGCAAGGAGGGAAAAAAGACAAGGAGGAAGGAGAGAAAAAAAGGAGGGAAAAGGAAAGAAAAAATGAGCGTGAAACAGAGAAAAAGGGAAGAGGAGTAAAATGGGAGCTTTGGTGGCGCAGTGCCTGAGGCACTTGACTGCTAACCAGAAGGCTGGCGGTTCAAACCCACCAGCCACTCCTCGGAAGGAAGGTTGGCAATCTGCTTCTGTAGTGATAACCGCCTCGGAAACCCAAGGAGGGGTCGCTATGAGTCAGATCCGATTCCACGGCAGTGAGTTGGTTGGTTAGGAGTGAAAAGGATGGGAAGAGAGGAAAGAAAGGAAAAGAGGAGGAAAAAGGGGGAAAAGAGGAACCGAGAGAGAAGCAGGAGAGGCGGAAAGAGGCATAAGCAGGCAGAGCGGAGATGCTCACGGCAGGCAGATGCGACGGCAGAGGCGCCCCAACACACACCCCCGCCCCCCAAGCCCGGCCCTGCCCCCCACACCCAGCCCTGGGCACCTCTCTGTGTCACCACCCTCCTCGGTGCTCTCTGGGGGTGCCAGGGGCTCCAGGCTTGCCGGGCCCTGTGGGGGTGGGTCCCCCAGGTCCAGCGTGGGGTCAGCACCTGTAGGGGCCGAAGTGGGGAGCCAAGCTGGCTGCAAAGTGCCGAGGGCCAGAGAGCACACTTGCAAGGCCTCGGTTCCCTCCACCGCAGAGGCTAAAGCTAACCAGAGCCTGGCACGGCTGCTCCACGCTTTAAGAGCAGACAGACAGATGCAGAGATCTCTGCGAACGTGGCTGTGGGCAGCTGGGGCGACGGGCTCCAAAGCCAGCCCAGAAAACTCTCACCTGGTTCTCGGTCTGGGCTGTCTCCGGGCAGAGGGTGCAGAGAGACTCCGAGGGTGTCCTGCCCAGGGGCCCCAACGTTCCGGTCCCGAGAGGGCACCACCAGGCCTCCCTTCCGTTCTGTAGAGCTCGGCTTCTCGGCTGGTGGACGCCAAAGGAGAAAGAGGGTAATTCAAGACCAGAGACCCTCAGCCTCAAGCCCTAGGCTCCAGGCCCCATCCCCCACCTCCCTCAGACCCAGGAGCCCAGGCCCCCCCCAGCATGGACACTCTGGCTTCAGCATAACTACCTTCAGCCTCAACTTTGAGGTGTCGAAAATCCGGTACTGAAACGACAGGGTAGGACAGTGAGGTAGGTGGGGCTGACGTGGGGTGCCCAGGCGGGCAGGGGCCGTGGCATCTCACCCTGGGGCTCTCCCCGGTTCCAGCGGGCGGCATCGAGGATGCTGCTCAGCCCTTTCTTGGTCTTGGGCGGTTCGTCCGATCGCCGATTGCCCATTATCATCTGTGGGACAGTGGGGGAAGACAGGAGGGGGTCGAGGATTTTTGAGACTCCCAAGAAGCCAAATTAGACCTCAGCTGTCCGGAGTCACGAGGGTGCTCATGGAGAGGTCCCTGGAGAAAGGCCAGGTTTAGGCACTCAGGGACGTACCTTTTTCCGGAAGAAGTTCCTCCCCGACTTCTTGTCCCCGCTCTTGGTCCGCACCCCAAGGTGGCGCATGTACAGGGTGATGGCGCTGACCACAGCGGCACTGTAAGGAGGGGATGGTGAGGGCCCACCCACAGGCATTCTACAGACACACATACACTAGTGCCCCCTAGAGGCAGAGGTCGCGGCCTCACCCTCTCAGTTCACTTCCCACAACCACTTCCTGTTGTGTCTCGGCAGGAAGAGGGCAGAGTTGAAAAGCGCAAGGGCCAGGGATGCTGTGTAAACGCCCCAGCTCCTGGAGTCCAGATCTCCAGCCCACCCCGCCTCAGACCCTGAAATGAAGCGCCTCTCCCCGCCATCCTCTTGGCCTCTGTCACCTCTTTTCTTCATCATTAGAGATGGTAGGCCTGTAAGGAGAAGAAAGATGTCTGTGAAGAATTTGCTACGCCTGGGGTCCCAGCCCACCCACCCCAAGTGTCCCTGCGGCTGTTCCCTTAGAGGTGAGGGGTGGCAGAGTATGAAAGGACCTAGAGCAGGAAGAGGGACAAAAGGCAGAGCGAAAAACCCCAGAAGATCTAGAAGATCAGAAGGGAGAAGGTTTCCTCATCTAGTGGAGACGGGAGTTAAAAGGATAGGGCTCAACTGCCAAGTGGGAACACAAGGGCCACAGATAAAACCCTAGACACTGGGAGGGAACCCCAAGGCCGAAGAGGAAAACTTAAAGCCAGCATAAACTCAAATGCCATCAAATGCCAAGGCTCAGGGCCCAAAAGCCAGGGGAAGAGCCCGGATGCTCAAAATGAACCTGAGGCTGGAGGAGTCTGAGCGGGGAATGGAGCATGCTGGCGGCAGCAGAGGGCGCCCCACGGCTGAGGAAGGGGTGAAGCTCTGGTGCCAGGCCCAGGCCCACTCACTGCATCTCCTCGAGGTGGGCCAGTAGCCGCTCGGCCACATGCCGCTCCCGGGCCTCGTAGCTGGCTCGGTCCCGTCCAACCCAAACCTCCAGCTGGGCCAGCTCCTGCTCCCAGGGCGTCATGCCCATGAGTCGCTTGGAGCGGAAGTCCTCCAGCTGACGGCTGATGGCCGCCTGCTGGCTCTGTACCACCTCCTGCACGAACCGTCGCTGGACATCCTCGGAGATGAGGTCGGGCCGCGTGCGGTCTGCAGAGACACAGGGACTGGGGTCAGCTCCCTGGGTGCTGGCTCCTCCCTTATCACTTGGACTACAGTTCCACCCACCCTTGGGTTCTCGGGCTGCCACCACCAGGAAGGAATGAATGAATGTCTAGCGTCAAGAAGGATCATGGGGGTGGTGGTCTCCCTCCCTGGGCCTCCCTGCTAGAAACCTCTCCCCCAGCCCTCCTCTCCTTACCAAGTTCAAAGGCGACGCTGGGAGGCACTGGTACTCGAAGAACCTGCTCAGGAGAGGGATTGGAGAGAAGGGGATGGGGCTGGCAAGGCCTGGGACTGGGCCTGGGAGCTACAACCCAGGAAGTGGTGTGGGAATGACAGGAGGGGAGGGCAGCGTGGCCTGTGGTGGGAATAATGAGGGCAGCAGTGTGGCAGAGGGCATGGGGAAGGCCCAGACTGGCAGAGGGGATCCCACGGCCAGGCCCTTCAGCAAGGCAAGGGAGGAAGGTGTACAGAGGCTCTCCAGGGCCAAGGGGAGGGCGGGGGCCGTGCAAGGACGCCTCACCGATGTCTTCTCCAAGAAGCTGTGGTAGAAGTCAAGGAAGGCCTTCCTGCCCTCCTTGGGACCCAGGCTGCTCAGCATGTCTGCGTGCAGGCAGCAGAGCTGGGGGGAAAGGCCAGGGTGGGCTAGAATCCCTCCCTCCCACCCAGACCACCAGCCCCTTTGGAAAGCCTGGGGCTCTTCTCAGGCCCTGACCGAGGGGCTCAAAAGCCACCTCCTCTGGGAAGGGCTGCCTGCTCCTCCACCCAGGGAGGCTCTTGCCTCCCTCAGGGCTTCCCTGGGGCCACCCTGAGCATCTGCTCAATCCCATTCTATGATTCCTCGTGGTTCTGTCTCCTCACTGCTGCTGCTACCACCACGGCCACCGCCACTGCCACCACCAGCCATACTAAGAGGGCGTAGTGGACACCAGGCACCGTCCTAAACTGTGTACAGCTTTAACCTGTTCAATTACAGGAACAACCATTATCCCCACCTCACAGAGGAGGAAACCAAGGCTCAGAGAAGTCCAGAAGCATGCTCAAGGTGACACAGCTAGGAAGCGGCAATGTTGAGATTAGAATCCAGCAGCCTGTCCCCACTCCACTGCCTAGAACTACTGTGAGCGACTGGAGGGCGTGTGGTGTGTGTGTTGGGTGAGTAGGTTCTGATTCGACTGCACTGTACACACGCCATGTGCATGGTGGGGGCTTTGTAAATAAACAGCTGGACGAGTGGGGCTGGCAAATTGACCCACTGAGAGTTTCCTGCCCATGTGGCAGTCCTGTCCTGGCTCCTGGAGGGCTCTTGTCTGCTAAGAGCTCAGTCTCAGTGGGGGTGGGACTCAGTCTCTCCAACTGAAACCCGTTCAAGGTGCCCACATCCAAACCCCCTGCCCCTCCCCCACATACACAAAACTCCCTGAGAGGCCAGTAAGCAGCAACCCAGGGCCACAACTCTCTTCAGATGAGACGAGGGAGGGCTTAAGGGCAAAATCTCAAACTTCCACAGGCCAACCTGGGTCACCTCAGGCTGAGCCTGGGCCACCTCTGGCCTCAGTTTCCACATCTGTTAAAGAACACGGCAGTCAGCACTACCCCTAGGCTGAGTTCCCGAGTCGGGAGCCCTCAAGTTCTGGAAACCTGAGGCCAGCCTCCATGCAGCAGAGAATTCCAATGGGGAAAGACACTGGCAATGTCCCAGTTTCCGGAGGCTGTAGGGTCTCCTGCCGTCCCTTCTGCATCTCCCGGGCATCCCTCTCCAGAACTTGCATCTATCTCCTTGTTTCTGAAGGGCATTGTGCCCTGGGCTAGCCTTGACCCATGCTGGGCCACACTGGGTCTTCTCTGGACGGGAACCTTGCCTACAGGCCCTCTGCCCGCCAGCTTTGTGGCTTCTGAATCACTCTTCCTTCCTGCCCAAACCACCTGCTGGGTTTTCAGGACTCTGCGCGAGCTTCCGGATGGCATGGGTCCGCACCCACATCTCCCAGGAACCTTCTGCCTGCTCCACGAGGGTCTTGGAGCGCTAATTACGTTCTCTTTGCCAGGTGGGCTGCCTGCAGTGGCTTTCTTAGTTCTGGGTCTGAGTCGGCTGTGCTGCCTGGACCAGGATGGCTAACAGTGTTCTCCCAGGAACCAACCCTGCCAAGAAGGCCACTGTGTCCCCCTCCAGTCTGTGAGGAAGGGCACTGTCACAGATTGGTGGTATGGCGTGGGGGTGGCGGGCAGGGATGGCTGGCTCCTGTCCTATCTGTTGGATTCCCCGCTGTTGTCATGACCCTACCGTGGGCTCTCCCCTGCCTGCACTTGCTGCCTGCCGAGACCTACATGGGTGCCGGGTCATCCCTGGATTACATGGCAAACTTTCTGGGTCTTATCCATGATATTATTTCTAGATCCCAAGCTAGGCTTTTTGGATCAGGAGCCTGTTTTCCCAGACCTGGGAGCTCTGGTGGGATTGTGCCTAAGGCACTTGACTGCTCACCAGAAGGCTGGCAGTTCAAACCTACCAGCCACTCCTCGGAAGGAAGGTTGGGCAATCTACTTCCGTAGTGATACTGCCTCGGAAACCCAAGGAGGGGTCGCTATGAGTCGGCTCCAACTCGACAGCAGTGAGTTTGGTTTTTTGGTTGGCTCGTTGCCAGTTTGGCCCCACCCCTGCCCATGCCCTCCCCTCACCAAGGGTCCCGGCTCGAACTGCAGGGCCACATGCTGCAGGAGGGCCATGAGGTGGGCCGGGCGCCGCTTCACCTGCTCCAGGCTCTGGAACTGGCTGTTTTGCTCCTCTGTATTCTGGGAGATGGGGGGCTGGAGTGAGTGGAATGAGGACAAGAGGAGAGGCCTTGGGCTTGACTCTGCCCCACGCTCAGTACTTCCCACAGGTTCTTCTAAGCTGGGAAGGTCCTGGGGCAGAGGGTGTGATGGTGGGCAGCAAAGGCAGGTGCTGGGGGAGTGGATGAGGTGTGACGTCATAGTGGTGGGCGATGAAGACAGAAATGGGGGCACAGAGGTGGGGGTGAGGGAGATGACGGAGGAGGTACCAGAAGAGGAGAGAAGGAAAGAAGGGCAGTGGGAGGAGGCCGAGGGGGCAGCAGAGAGCATCTGGGGTGGAGAGGCGGACCTCAACCTCAAGGTGGGCGGGGCCACTAGGGGCTGGGGCCTGGGGAGCCTGGGGCGGACCGTTTCCCCACCCTGTTTCCCTCACCGTCTCCAGCTCATTCTCAAAATCCTCGTCCTCAGCCCCGATGATGCTGACAGGCACCAGGCCAGGCCGGGGGGGCCCTGGGGCCTATGGGAGAGGAGGGGTGGCCTCAGTTCCCAGTGCACCCCACGGCACGGCCCCAGCCCCATCACCCCCCAGCTGGCAGCTGGTGCCACTCACCGCGCCTCGGGCCATGTCTTCCGCCTCCATGGGCTCCTCTGCAGGGCTGGGGGAAGAGGAGTGGCTGTGGTTAGGGGCGGGAGGAGGAGGCAGGGCAGTTACTCACAGATTCCTGGCCCAGGTGTGAAGGTGAGTAAACAGCCCCCCCACCCGGCTCAGCAGCTCAATGGGACCTCTGTGTGGCCTCTGTGTGGCGACAAAGAGCCCTTCAGAGGCCAGCCGGGGGCGGGGAGTCTAAGGACCGGGAGCCTGGGGAGGGGGGGCAGCTGGGTCCACGAGTGGGCCGCGTTTGGGAGCCTGCAATTCTGGGTCCCTAAGGAGCAGGGGGCTGTTGAGTCCCTGGGTGTGAAGAGGAGGGGGCTGGAAGCTGGTTCCCGAGGCGCTGGGGCCTGGAAGGTTAGAGGGGAGGAAAGAAGGAGATGATTGGCATGTGGCATGTGGGGGCCTCTCCTCCAACTGAGATTGATCGGGGACAGGCTTGGGGCAGGATGTAGCCTCTGAACCCACCAGCCCCACTTCCTGTGACAGGAAATCACATTGGCAAACCCCCCAACCCCCAACTCCACACAAGAAAACAAAATTCTGAACCCTCCTCCCTCAGGGATCAGAAGTCTTCTGAACCAGACGTTCTGTCCCTCAGGGACCTCCTAACTTCCCAGCCTCTGGTCCCAGAAAACGAGAGCTGCCCTCAGGCAGCTCATCCCCAAGGTGGGTGTCTGCCCCCTCCACCCTGAGTCCATCTCCATCTCTCCCCTCCCCTGTCCCAGCAAGCTCTCTGGGGCTGTCGCTCCCTCCAAGCCGTCTCATGTCCCTGCCCTTCTCCTGGACAGACCTCTCATTTTCCCCACTGTCTCTACTCCCCCTTCCTTCTCGAAGCCACTCAGTCTCTTCCCGCCCAGTGGGCCGGCTCCGTCCCATTCCTTGCTCTCCCAGGTTCTGTGCCTCTGTCTTCCCACCTCTGGCTCCTGGGCCAGGCCACTGTCAGTCCCCACCCCTCCGGGGGCTGTTCAGGTGCTGTCTCTCATCTCTTTCCAGCTCTCTCTCCCCCCATCCCTTGTTGTCTCTCGGGTCTCCATCTCTCTCTCTGAGTCTTTCCACCACCCTCTCCATCCTTAATTAGGCTGACTCATGCCATGGGTGACCGGTCAGGACGGAAGGAACTGTAGAAAGAAGGGCAGGGAGGGATGGCAGGCAGTGCTCCCCAAAGCCCAAAGCTATTTATAACCCATGTTGCTTGAGACCCACCCTTCTCCCTCTGCCACAGGCCTCCTTCCTAGTTCTCAAAAAATGGAGTCCTTCTGATTCTGGTTGCCCACCTGGGTGACCCTATTTTACATGGGGTCACTATGGGTCAGAGGCAACTCAACCTAACAACATGACTCTGGTTATTATTATCAAACAACGATGCCGTCTCGAGTGTCCAAAAGCGATCCTATCGGGTCACCCAAGTGGGCATCATTTTTTTTCTTTTCAATGACAGCATTAGTTCAACATTCAAGATGAAGTCATTTAAGACTTGAGCATTATTAAGGTTTCACAGAAAGAAATTTATAAGCCGAGACAGAATAATAATAATAACAGTTATGATTTGTTACAAGAGCTAAGCTTACATGGCAGTTACCAGGTGCCAGGAATTGCTCAAAGCCCTTCTGACGTATGAACTCACTTGACCCTCATACCCACAAGCACTGCAGGCTCTGACTAGGCTCATTCCAAAGCCAAACCAAACCCACTGCCATAGAGTGGATTCCGACTCACAACAACCCATGGGGTTTCCAAGGCTGTAAATATTTACGGAAGTAGATTGCCTCACCTTCCTTCCATGAAGTAGCTGGTGGGTTTGAACCATTGACCTTCTGGTTAGCAGCCAAATGCCTTAACCACCAGAGCTCTTTATTAGGCATATTAGGGGTGGGAAAGCATTTGCCAGGCCAACAGCCACAACTTCCGGGCTGAACAGTGTGGCCTGGCCCCGGGACACGGAAGATCCTTGCTCAGCTCACTCAGGGCTGGGGAGGCTCAAAGACGCCAGAGGGGACAAGGAGCAGGTGCCCATTCTCTGGGAATATTTAACATGCACTTACAATGCGCCAGCTATAGCAATACGGCTTTATATGGGTACTACCTCATTTGATCCTCTCAATGGTCCCAAAAAAACTAGTATTGCCATTTCACAAAGGAGGAAACTGAGTCCCAGAGCCAGGATTCACACCCAGGACATCTGGCTCAAGAATTTATGCATTTAATCACCAGCTTACGTTGCTTCAGGACAAGGGGATGCCACCCTGCTCTTAGGGGACACAAATCTGAACCAAAGCTCTGAGACACATCAGGTCTCCTAATGACACTACATCTGGGAAAGTCGGGGGTGTGTGGCCGTGGTGGCCTGGAGAAAAGAGCAGGCTGGACCCTGCAGTTCCACAGAGGCCTGGAGCTCAGACAGGATTCTGGGGGGCCGGGCTGTTTAGGAGACGAGGGGACCCCCAAAGACCAGGAAATTATAGCCTGAAGCTATCAGGGGACAGATGGATCTATAGGCAACTGGCAGGACTGGTGGACTGCAGAGGGGGCGCTGTGCACCATGATTCTGGGGGGCGGGTGTCAGTGTGGGTTTAACTTCATGGGGTGTGGGTCCAACACCAAAATGGGCACAGAACAGGGCGATCACATGGACGTCTGAGTTCTCCGCAGGGCCCACGGTCTACAGTACGGTGAGCAAACGGCCCAGGCTCCCAAACTCACTGCCGTAAAGTCAATTCAACTCATAGTGACCCCTCTTTGGGTTTCCGAGGTGTTATCCCTACAGAAGTAGATTGCTTAATCTTCCTTCTGAGGAGTGGCTGGTGGGTTTGAACCCCAAGCCTTCTGGTTAGCAGTCAAATGCCTTAGGCACTACGCCACCAGAGCTCCCTCTGGGAGCCTTAGAGAACCTAAAATACAGAGGGCTGCCACTGAGTCTAAAGAAGACATGGAATGTACAAGCCCCAGATTCCATTTGACACTCAGTGGGTCTACATCAGGGACTCCCTGGGTGGTGCAGTTAAGAAAATGGTTGACTGAAAGGCTGGCAGTTCAAGGCCACGCAGAAGTGTGCAGAGAGACCTGCTGGGGTGCTTCTGGAACGAACGTCACAGCCTTGAAAACCCAATTCCACTCTGCAACACCTGGGGTGGCCATGAGTAGGAACTAGCTTGATGGCAGCTGACTCTGATTTTGAGTCTCCGTTACTGGTTCTCAACTAGAAGTGATTTCACCCCTCAGGGGACATCTGGCAATGCCTGGTGACATTTTTGGTTGTTTTCAGCAGGGGAACGCCTAATGGCATCTAGCAAGAATGCTGCTCAACATCTTAAAATGCACAAAAAAGGCCTGTCCATAAGAACTATCTGATCCAAACTGTTACCAGAGGGCAGGCTGAGAAACACTTGTCTACAAGCAATGGGCAGGGCCTGGAGCATAGCAGAGGGGGTGAGGTGGGGCCCAGCAGGTTTTAAAAAGGTCCATAGTGGTGAGAGTCTTAGAGGAAAATGGGCACAGATTTGGGACCACATAGGGGCTGGCTTCTTTGCAGGAGCCAGAGTCTCCAAGGACCTTGGGAGCCTTCAAGATCCTAAAATACAGGAGGACCAAGCTGAGTCTGTGAGGAGCCCTTAAGAACAGATAAGACCCCAGATTCTATTCGACTGACACTCAGTGGCTCTACAGATATTCAGGATTCAAACGGGGTCAGGACTCCATTGGGAAAGTAGCCAGTCTATGGGGCCTCTGAAGACTTATAAAGGCTGTACAATTCTATAGGTTCATGTGGTGGGGGGGCCAGAGACTCAAAGACTGTAAGGGGCCCCGAATTCTAAAGGATGCTATTAATCTAAAGAGCCTCCATGGGGGCCGAGCAGAAACCTGGAGGGTCCTTAAAACCTTGTAATCCATTAAATCTATATGGAACGTGGCGGGTCGACAGGAGCCCCTAAATCTTACAGTGGACGTGGCGGGTCTACACGAGCCCCAAATCCTACAGAGGACGTGGCGGTGTGCGCGGCCGGGCCATGCCGGGGCGGACGCTGGGAGTCAGGCTCTGACCCCACCCGGGGCCGCGTTTCTCACCTGCGCCAGGTCGTGAGACAAGTCGCCGCAGTCTCCAGAACCGAAGCCTCCGCGCGCCGGCTCCGAGCTTCCCCCACCCGGGCCGCCGAGCCGCTCTAGCCGCCCCAGAGACACGCTTCGCGCTCAGCTCCACTCCTCCCGCCAGCCGCTCTAGCCCGGCTCCAGCCAGGCTCCTGGCTCGCCGACTCCACTCCTCCCGCGGGCCGCTCAAGCTCTGCACTGCGCCACGCTGGCCAGATAGAGCCGCTCTGGCCTGCCATGGAGGGCTGGCGTTTCCGCATCTCGACTGCCCGCGTCAGAGTCCCGGCCTCCGCCCCCCACACACCCCGCCCAGAGATGAGGTTAGTTCCAGCCCTCAGAGCAGAGCCCAAAGCGAGATAATCTGAGTCGCCTGGGCCCTTGGTCCTCGGATCTCAGACTGGAACGCTTCTCCCTATCCTGTCTCTCTTTTTGGGGCGAGCTGAATTCTCAACGCTTGTATAGCCCCCAACACTTTCCTCTGGGGCTGGAAAGCAAAACTCTGGATTGGAGCCCAGCTTTGCCTCAGACTTGCAGTGTAACCTGGTAGCAGTAATGGTTCTTCCAGTCTCAGTCCTCCCATCTGTACAATGGGGGAGAGTCACTAGCTCTCCTCCACGCTCATCTCCTCGGACATGATTAATGAGCCCCAAACGTTATCAAACTCACTCTACTGGGAACTTCGGGCTCCATATAGTGTTGTTATTGTTTTTCTTTTTAGGCGGCCCTCAACCTTGCGGGGTTGCAGCAGGAGGCTTAGCGGAGAGCACCTGCGAGTTCAATACCAACACAGTCTCCGGATGCGCGCCCTGGAGCGAGTCGGTTCTGCTCCCTGGGCCTCACTTTCCCCACCCATACAACTGGGTGATCAGCTGGGAAGCAGTGAGCCTGGCCCCGAGCCCCTCATCCCCACCCACTGAAGCACTCGGCGAGGATTAGCTTCCCTCTCCTCGTCCCCTTTGACAGGTGGGAAAACTGAGGCCCAGGGAGGGGCAGCGGCCGGCGCAGTGCGGCCCAGAGGAGGCGCCTCCACCTCCGACCTCACTTCCCGCCGCGGCGGAGGGGAGGGCCGGGGCCGAGGACGGTGTACCTGGTGTCCGCGCGGGGAGGTGACCGGCGGGGCGCCCGAGGTCGGGCTCGGCGATCCCCGGCCCAGCGTCCCGGCTCCCGCTTCCTGGCTCCGGCGGGGC